TCACCTTTTGGTCCCTAATATGTTATTTCAATATACCCCCTCCCATATGTTAGTAATGATTTTAACAGATCAAATTGATAACTTCCCTTTAAACAAAATAGCATCATGTCTCATATAAAAAAAAATATTACCATGGAACACCATGAAATAATTAAAACATTGTGAAATTCATGCTATAAATAAGTACAAGCTTAAAAGAATATATAGATTCTTTTGAAATTTTAGGAGAAAAAGTTTGAAATTAGATTGTCAACATTTGAAATGTAGAATTTAGAATTTCAATGAAATCTTTCAAGAATTGAATGATGCTATTTATTAAAAGACTATCTGTCAGTTATAAGATCTGGAAAACAGAGTAGTCTTGTTCGTTCACATAGTTACTTTTCTAGATAACTTTGGCATACACTGGCATAATTTAGAACTTTCATTATCTTTTATGTCACCACCAGAAGTGTATTCTCCAAATTTGTTCTGGATGGTGTTCAGTGGTTAGCAGTCGTCATTTAGCAGTTGGTGTTTGGTGATTGGTATTTAGTGTCTGTAACAAATGGGAGCCTTGTTTTATAATTGCAATTACAAATAATAAAAAAGGTAATTTTTTTATTTTATGTGTAAATTGATGTGTTCGAATAGAATGCACACAGTGAAACCTGTCCTAGTGAATGCCTCTCTCTCACCAGTGAACATCTGTCTCTAGTGGACACCCTTGCTCGGCTCATACTGTACTGACTTCTGAATAAATTACCATCTCTGTAGTGAACATCTACCAACACTGAACATTTTTTCTCAGCAAAAAATGTTCAATATACACAGGTTTTACTGTAGTTCAAAATCAAAAGATTTTGTTCAGATTTGTTCAAAATTGGCTGACTAAATTGAGTCTGAAACTGTTGCTACACCATGAGTCATAACATAAATGTAGGATAAATGAAAGATATAATTTCTGTAGAAACAATGCAGTTAAAAGGTCAAAAGTCATCTTTCTAGTCCCACCTTAAACCAGAGCTATCAATTGTAAATCTTTGGCTCAAAATTATTAAAATAATATTTCTGATTTGAAATATTTCTTCAAATGTGAATACCTATATTATACTGCATTAAAGCCATTTAGAAAGAAATTGAATGCTACGTCTGACCCTAAATTAATGCCTATATAATTTGAAGGAAATAAATTAAAAAGATTTTGAACAGTTTTTTGATGGTTTGATGTATAGGTTAAATTCTATTGATCACTAATTGTAGCTTTCATGTTTAGCGGAAGTTTTAATTTGTATCTTACTTTAAAACATCTAAATATTTAACCGAGAAAACATGTTTTTATGAGAACCATACATGCGCCCTTTCTAGAATTTCAGACAAATTAAAGCTCCAAGTGTTGATTTCTTTTTCATTTTTATTTGAAGTCATACCAGAATGTTTCAAAGCTGATTGTAGTATAATGGTCATATTAATTTGTTTTGCAAACAAAGTTTGAGATTTCTTAATATAGAGTGGGAGGGTACCAAACTAGTTAAACAAATTACAGTACCACCAAGTGGAACACAAGTGGTACATATATAAATAGGTGTTCTACTTATAGAGGTGTTCCACTTTACTGATTACTGAATTTACTATACTTTGTTTCATGGTCATTGTTTGGTTTAGTCTTGCTTTAAGTTTCTGAACTCCTCTCTATCTACTTCAACACTAGAGGTTGTGTAATGGGGGGGGGGGGGTGGTTGCACAAGGTGGCTAGACTATACAGTAGAACCTGACTTAGTGAACACATTTCTCTAGTGAACACCTGTCTCTAGTAGACACCCTTACTCAACACTTACTCTACTAACATCTGTATAAATTGCCCTCTCTTTAATGAACACCTTTTTGTAGCTCCATAGGTGTTCACTATATTCAAGTTTTACTGTATCTGGTTTTAAAACTAACCTATTAGTCTATTTTGTATCTCCATTTTATCTCATGCATGTTTACATTTTCCCATAGTGATACTTCTTAATTCATGATTTACCCTTGTCCAATCATTTAAGACTCTACCCTCTAACTAGAATCGATCGTTTTACATAAAGGCTTCCAACCAATCAGAGTGCACCTACTATACATACTAATGTCAACATACATGAAAATTCCTTTAGAGTTGTCATACAGGCTCTGATTGGCTGAGTGAGCTTAGTTAGTTTATATCATTGATATAAAGAGTGAATTAAATAGACCATTTTTGTAAAGGGTGATTTTGTTACTTCCCCTTAGGAAATTGTCGCATAGCTGTTTATTATGTAACTATTGCATGTTTTATGGCCCTTTGTAACCGCAAGCCATTAATTTTGATCTTATTTTTTCGTGTGATTTTTTGGATGTTGATACCAATTGCCCCACTGAGATTGTGATCTGCCTTCTGGTTGCAAATTATATAGCATGAAAAATTCAAAAATGTAATTTTCACAAATTCATACAAAAAGTCAGAATTAATACAGCCTACCCATTCCAGTGTTCTCGCAAAGATTTTATTCCATATGGGTGCAGAAATTCTCTGTTTTTACATTTCTGTCCATAAAATGGTCAAAATATGGCAATTTTCATGATTTTTCTTAATTCTAAGAAAACGCAAATAGGTTTTCAAGGTGGGTGCAAGCCAATTTTCAAAATACCCATTTGCACCCATGTACCTGATGCACCAGGTGCAATCAAAACACTATGTGTCTCTGTTTCATACTGGTATGTAGAAATATGGGATATAGACCGAAAAGGTATTAACTTGCGAAGTGCTCAACAGAACCTTCATTGGTGGTATAAACAGGAAACAATGTAAAACAAAAAAATGTTTGTTTTCAATAGCTACGATACAATAGAAAACAAAAAGGCATGTTTTAGTGCCAACTATAATGTAAAGAAGGGGAGGGAACGGGAATTACAGGAAACAGGAAGATTGAATTGTTTGGTATTGTCGATTGGTTTGTGATTGCACTTGAATTTCATGGTGGGCTCTGTTCACCAAAATGGTCCATATTTGTGTTTTAAGATGTTTAATGGATTAATCAAAAGGTTGCTTTAGTCTATGAAAATGCCTGAACAAATGCTGATGTTATCATTGATTTTGACTATTTCATGATTTTTTCTCTAGAGTATGAATGAATAATTAGATTTTCATACAATTATATTAATAAAAAGCTAATATGTGTATATCTGGACACTTTTCTCATCTGAACATCTCTTGATTTGAAGGTCTTTTCATGGTTCTTTTGTTATAATCTAATGTGAATAGCTGCAAGTCTGAACACTTTTGGTTGGGCCCAGTAGTGTTCGAGTATGACAGGTTTTGTGTATTAGCTAGAATCCCGTCTATTTAATTCCATTTTTGTACACACCTGCAGATTATTGCACTACAACCATGCATATTTCATGCTTTTTCTCTCTTAAATTTGAATGAAGTGTCTCATTTTCTTGCATTTCTATACAATTTAGAGTGTTTACTACATGTTTGTTTACTTTATTCCTTGCTAATTACTCTCATTTCTCTCTCAAATTTGAATGAAGTGTCTGATTTTATTGCATTTCTATACAATTTAGAGTATCAACTACATGTCTGTTTACTTTATTCCTTGCTAATTCCACTCTTTTCCACTCTATTTTGCATTTTAAAACCTGACCACTTTGACATTCTCAACACACCTGCTATAGGGGCATAAGATAAACATGTGTTAGGAACATATTGAACAAACATGGGAAAGTAAATCAAAGAAAAACTTGAAGTGTTTTTTAATTGTAAAAATGTGACTTTAAGGACCTGTATCAGGATGTGTTTACTTTTCTTTGATAATAACTGAGAGAGGGAATATTGAAGCTCTTCAATCTAAAATGTTATACATTAGCTATTTTCCACATTTGGGATGCAGATACATTTAAACTGGACACCTTTTTGATTTACTTACCATGTACTGTATACCAACCTTCCTGTATAGGAAAATGTGATGATTTTTACAATGCATAATTAAATGATAGAGAGGGACATCAACAAGAAATAAGATACATGGAGATAAAGTTAGCTCTCTAATTAAATTAAAACACCAGAAAATTATGCGGGTCATTCAAATTTTAGAGAGAAATTGAGTTGAATAAGCAAGGAATGAAGTAAACAATCAGAATTATATATAATTTAAGAAAAGCGAACATTTCATTCAAAAAGAGAGAAACAGTGTGAAATACAGAAATAGGCGTAAGCAAATTGAAACTTAATTGACTGAAAATATGTAGCATCACACATCAACAAAACCATACTTGAAACACTATGTTGTATTCTCGATTCAATACGGGTATATCAAAGAAAATCGCAAGTGTTTAAATCACAAAAATTTGACTTTTATCACCTTTTATTTGCGGATCATATGGTGCACATACGTTTGGCATTGTCCCGAGTTGAAGTAGCTCCCTAGGATATTAAACATGTTTAATTGTGGAATACAGAGAAACCATGGCTTATGGAGGAATTTGCCCTTGGTTAAAAGTCAATTTGGTATACTTTGATGTCTTTGGATAATCAGGTTGACTGACAAGAGGTGAATTTAAGCTCTTAATATTTATTGCCTGCATGTAATTGTTCTTTTTTCTCAGCCCCCCCCCTCTTGTCAGATTCAGATATACTTAACTTATCCAAAGAAGTGATGTTACTTTATACTGCCTGTTGTCACTTAGTTCTCTCTTCTCAGCCCCCCCCCCCCTTCTCCTGTTAGATTCTGACTACTTAACTTATTCAAAGAACCCATACTGTCTTGATCTGAACTTTATGCTGGTAGTTATACTTATACTGCATAGAACTAGTAAAAACTGGTAAAAATATGTATACAAAAACATGTGTCACTAAATGATGAATTTCATTGCTATTTTTATGCAATGATTTCAGGATTAATTTGTAAAGCTTAGGATTTATTGAAGTTGCTGCCATCTTTAAATGAAGACAAAAATAAATCTTGCAAATTAAATATTTATGGTTATTTTTTGTATATTTTTAGTTACACTTAATGACGCACTTGCGGAGCCAAAATGCCCAGAATCCTTTGTCCAATATGGCGAAAACTGCTACTTCCTGTCACGGAGATATTGGGAGTTATCGTGGATGAAATCTAAATCTTATTGCGAAGAGTTGGGTGCCCAACTGGTTGCCATAGAAACTGACGAAGAATTTGAATTTTTGCAAATTCAAATGAAAGGAAAAGAAAGTAAGTACAAAGAATTAATGCTTTATTTTCATTATATAAAAAATATTTACCTTGATATCATTTAACAACTACATTCAAGATTTAAAAGAAGTATCCAATATCACTTGAAAAAGATAATACCTTATGTGTATGAATTGATATTTTCGAGATGAAGTGATATTCCCTGGGGCTGAGATTTTGTACTGAAATGTGATTTTTTGATCTGCATATCGAATATATATTAACATTGTGTTATCCATATCCTCCCCACCAAGAGATAAAAATGATATATTTTATAACATATATTTTATTTTTTCTTAGTCTATATTAGCACTAACTACTAATGTTTGAAAAATATGAAAATTAGATTTCCAAATATTAGATAGAGTTGTTCGAATCAATTAATCCTGTCATAGTTGAAATAAGTAAAACAAAATAGATTAATATGTTATCAAATAAATACACCCCCTCCATAAATGTGGCAACTTGAAGACTCATTAGATGGCATGTTCAAGCATTTTATGTCGGGATCATAGTTTTGTTCCTCAACTACATGTACAATAGGTCAGGAATTTCTTTTTGGTGAATTAAAATCTCTAAAGATAAATAGGGCTTCTGGGTAGGGAGATAAACCTCTATTGCAATAATTTAATATGAAATTAAGCTGAGGCTTCTGGGTTTTAACCTCATTTCTCAAAAGGAGATATGCCAGACTTATGGAGGGGAGTGTATTTTATTGATTTTTATTAATTTGCATAGTCCTATAGTATTGCTTTGCTTATCCTAACTTTAAGAGATCATTTTGTTGAAAATGTTTTTTTCAGATGGTCTGTATTGGTGGACTAGTGGGTCTGACAGAAAAGAGGATGGTCATTGGATATGGGAATCAACGAATACTGATTTTGAAATAACAAATGCCTGGGCACCTGGACAGCCAAGTAGCTCACAATATTACCCTAAGAGAAACTGTATTGGATTTTACCGTGGAAATGCCAAACTGTACAACGAAGATTGTGAAAAAGCTCCGCAGTTTCAATCTAATGGTTACATATGCGAAAGAGCTCTTCAGTAATGGAGGAGATGAGAACTCTTCAAATGGAAGGTGTTCTGTGTAGTATGAGTCAACTATGGATGAGACAACTCTCTAAAATTGCAGTGCCGTTTCAGGAAAAGGTTCAAACCATAGTTTATTAAATTCATTTAATGCAATGAGAAAATGGCAAACTGTGCTGGTTTTGACTAATCCAGAATTTTGTTCATGAATGGATTGTGAACTCACTTGCAGTTGTGTTGAAATACATACAAATCGAACTTATAATGCAGGCAAATTAGTTTCGTATTAACAGTTTATTTTCGAAAAATTACCAGAAGACAATGAAACTAGAACATATGATGATAACAATGTTCCAATGATCGATACTGAAGATGAATAACATCATGACACCCCACAAGAAGGACATCATGACACACCACAAGTGAATATTGAAAATGGCACTAGGCCTATATTAGAAAACAGTGTAATATAAACGTGTAAATACATTACAATGGATTTATCTGGAGAGCTTTTTATTGAAAATAACTTGAATAACTTTTTGTGCAATTTGACATTTTATGTTGCCACCTAAAGTGATGACATATTATTATAGTCTCCAACTTTTTGTGAACGGTGTTCGGTGATTGGTGTTTGGTATTCGGCAGTTAATGTTCCACATCTGTAAAAAATGGCAGGTGGTCACAGTGGTGCATTTTGCATGTTAATGCCTTGTTTTAACAATATTGTCATATTGTGAAATGCAGTTGAAAATCAGCTAACTTCATGAATAGGCTTGCATCAAGAGACTGTACCCATCCCCACTCCTCCCTCCCTCCTTGAGTAATAGAGAAAAACGAAAAAGGGGGGGGGGTAGGTGGGGGTGGGAGGTTGGTATGGGTCTTAATACAAGACTAATTGTTTTTCCAAAAATAGTTTTGCCTCTGATAAAATGACCAAACAGATAAAACTGCGCTTATAAGTCTGACAAAGATGGCCACGTGGCATCAAATAACGATGTGACGGTTATCTACATGGTCACTTTTTATACATTTTTTCAAAAATCAAAGTATTCTTCATGTTAATAACAGTTAAACCTGTAAAGTGGAACACCTCAGTAAGTTGAACACTTTTCGATGTCCAAAGACCAACTTACTTAATGTTAAATGAACCTCCATAAGTGGAACCCGTTCCAAGTGGACCACTTTTTAGAGGTACCAAAGGTGTTCTACTTAGACAGGCTTTACTGTAGTTGATTAGCAAACCTAATATTCAGGAAACATGTTTTTCGCTACTTTGTGCTCAACATTAAAATATACATGCCAAAATCAAAGAAAATGGTATAATCCTAATAGTTAGTGAGGTAGCACCGAAAAATGTACCCGCTTCTGAACAAATTGAAATTACTTGTTTCATATGTATTTTTATGTGATTCTTCAGAAAATTTTAGTCTGACGTGCCGTATGTGGGGCGAAAGTTGTCAAAATTGGGTTTTTGACCCTAAAAAGGAAAATTACAGGGGGTACATTATCATCATTGAATAATTCATTCAGTTGGTCTTCAATCATCATAATAATTTTATTAAGAGTTGATGAGATCATTTTAAGGTAGTATGCAAAGTTTCAATGGTCTGCCACATGGGTTGCCATGGAAACCACAATTTTTGCTGAGAAAATCCTTAATTTTGGTAAAACCTGTACCTGTACATAATATAGAATGTGGATTATTTTTCAAATCAACAGGTATCAGAACATTTTAGCATTCTCAAAATTACCAGGGCAGTTCAAACATTTATTTAAATATAAAGGATATTGCAATTAACATAAATGGGGAGTGTCAAAGACCATACAATTATATAAGTGATCAAAAGTGGGCGTCGCCCTCATCATAGTAGATGATTGCCATTCTCTAAAAATACAGAGTTTTACTTGACTTTTGAGATACATTTATAATGATGTTCTTTGGTTATACTAAATATGAAGCATTTTTGGTAAATAATGTACATGTAAGTGTTATACTTATTGCATGGGGGAGGGGGTAGATGGGGGGGGGTAACAGAATTGGAAGAGGGCAAAGCTAATCACCCTTAAGTATAAATCTCATCTACATAGTTCTGGATTCCATGGGGTACATCTTCTGGGTCTTCTTCACATTCATCTGAATATATCGGATATTATAATTCTGCATGATTGGTAAGTATAAAGACCATAGAATTACGCAAGTGATCAAAATTGGGCGTCGCCCTTATCATAGATTCCTTCTCTATAAATACAGAGTCTAACTTGACTTTTGAGATACATTTGCATTACAACTTCTTTGATTATACTTAATATCAAGCATTTCTGGTAAGTAATGCACATCAAATTGTAATAGTTCTTGCCTGGGGGAGGATGGGGGAGAGTAGTAACAGAATAAGGAGGGGGCAGAGGTAATCGGCCTTAAGTATAAATCTCATCTGCATAGTTCTGGATTTCATGGGGTACATCGTCTGGGTCCTCTTCATATTCATCTCAATATATGGGATATTACAATTTACAGGATTTGTCAAACACCATACAATTACATATTAATAAATGATCAAAAGGAGTGTCGCCCTAACAATAATAGATGATTGGTTCTTTGTATAAATACAAAATTGAACTTGACTTTTGAGATACATTCATAGTTATACTGAACTGCTGTTATTATAATTTATGTCAAGCATTTCTGGTAAATACATCTGTGTAAGTTTTATAGTTTTTACATTGGGGCAGGGGTGAATAGTAACAGAATTAGAATGTGTAGATCTCATCTGCCTTAAGTATAAATCTCATCTTTTTAATTCTGGATTTCATAGGGTACATCTTCTGGAGTTTTCTGATTCATCTCCTGGTGTTGCTATATCACCAATCTCTTGTATGAGAATATCAGTCAATACCCACTGGAAAGATATGGAGTCATTTAGTTTCCATTCAAGTCCATCTGGTGGTTCACTACGAGGATTTGCAATATGGGCCATACAGACAATAAGTGCTTTATATGGATGAGTTGGTTACAACAATCAGACAGTCCTTCATAAGACCAACTTAAGAAAATTATCTAGAGATGAGATGAGTGTGACACCCATAATGACCTTGGAAAGGCACAAATAGCAAGTACAGAAAAAGACATAAAGATGACAAAAACCGCAATCAAAGACTTTCTTGATCCATTTACCATTGAGGATGAAGGTCATCTCTACGGTGTATCATAAGGAAAATCTGTGCCAAATGATGTCGCTGCAGATCTCATCGAATTTTAGTCAAAAGGGGAAATTGCATGAAGAGATACCATCTGAGATTAGTTGAAAAAAAGATTTCATGATCTAATAAAACATATGAAATTGAAAACTATAGCAGCAAACTACAGCAGCAACAGTGACAGTGACAGTAAAAAAGTGCTCAGAACAAGCTTATAAGATGGTTCAAATTCATTCTGAATGAAACATCTTTGAACAGCTTCGATCTTGCTAAGGAACATAAAATTAGCCTAGAATGTCTCCTGCAGTTCCTATTGAGCCCTGTGCCTTGGGCTCTAGGAACACTGACTGGACTTCTTGCAAGAACAGAGAAACCCATCCCTAGGCATGAACATGTACCCACAAGTGCCAAAGGGAAAGGACCAAAATTTGTAATAGAACCCAGCAAGAAAAAGAAAACTTCTAAATGTATACAAATCATAAGGAAAACAAACCCCAACTATCCCAAATCATAATTCAACTTGAAAGGTAGTTTTGTTTCTGGATCTGGCGGAGACTTTTTTCAAGATTCTACAATTGCAGATTGATTAGTTTTTGTATGTGATAATTACATCAAAAATTCTATAAAGGAACCTGAAAGAGGGGAGGGACACCTTGCCCTATTTAAGGTAGAAAAACAAGAGTCCCTAAAGATTGGATTTAGTTCTTGTATGATGATGAAAACAAAAAGCAAATACAGGAAAGTGTGCTGCTGGATACTTGAGTTGGAAACAAATGAAGACTGATGTCAGTGGTATTTCCTCCAATATAGACCCTGACATATATGCAGCCTTCCTAGCACTTCACACATTCACAGATGAAGTGTCATGCAGAAGGGGCAATAGCAATAGCACCTTTTTAAAAGGCAAAGGTGGAGCGCCATATACAGATGCACTCAACTGAATGACTCTCAAATCTGCAAGTGTAGTGGTATACTAGTATTCTCCCACATGATATTGTTAATATATTAACATCGGGAGGTGAATGAAAATGATCAGACTATGATATTAATACTTAAAACTGACTGGCCATTGGCTTTGCCCCCTCCCATTTCTGCAACTACCCCCTTGCCCCCCCCCCCACAGGGAATAACTATTACAATACTAAATGTAATCAAAGAAGTTTTAATTTAAAAAATAAATCTTAAAGTCAAGTTAAACTCCATATTCATAGAGAATGAATTATCTACTATTGTTAGAGTAACACCCACTTTTGATCACTTATGTAATTGTATGGTCTTTGACACTTACCAATCATGTAAATTGGAATATCCCATATATTGAGATGAATGTGAAGAAGACCCAGAAGATGCACCCCTTGAAATCCAGAACTAAGTAAATGAGATTTACATTTAAGGCTTATTAGCTCTGCCCATTTCCAATTCTGTAACTCTCCCCCCCCCCCATCCTCCACCCCCAGACAATAAATATTACAATTAGATGTACATATATAACTTACCAGAAATGCTTGACATTAACTATAAATCAAATATGTTTTTAAGTAAATGTACTTCAAAAGTCAAGTTAAACTCTGTATTTATAGAGAATGAACCATATACAATGATTAGGGCGACGCCCACTTTTGATCACATGTGTAATTCTATGGTCTTTGACACTTACCAACCATGTAAATTCTAATATCTTATATATTGAGATATATTGAGATGAATATAATATGACCCAGAAGCTGTACCCTATGAAATCTAGAACCATGTAGATGAGATTTACACTTAAGGCTGATAAGCTCTGCCCCCTCCCAATTCTGTTACTACCCCCTCCCCCTGTAT